TGTTATTCCAGGCAGAGACCTATAGTCGCCCCTTGTTTTAGACTCTCGCAAATATATTACAAGATAAGCCCTCAAGCAACAAGAGTTTTAAAGGGCAGAGTATTTTAAGGCTTCTTACAAATTCTGTCCCACAGTCGAGGGTGAAACCTTTGATAAGAGACATGTACTGTATTTTAGGATGTAACCTCTTCAAATAGGAGGGAAGTCCCTCAATATAAGGCGACCTTGTTGATGGTAGAAGATTCCCTCAGTTTAGGGCGAGTCTCTCAGCTGAAGGTGATCTTGTTGAAGGAGGTGACTCCCCTTGTTTGGGATGGGTCCTTTAGTTTAAGGCACCTTATTGATGGGAAGAAAGTCCATTAGCTTGGGGCGAGTCCCTCAGTCGAAGATGACTTTTTTAAAGAGAATGGGAGAACTTGTGAATTGATCATTAATGGGAAATGTGTAACCACTTCATGCTAGATATTAATGGGTAAACCAACATTACTGGAAAATGTCAAGTTCCTGTATTGAATGATTAAAGACGTCAAAACGTTAGTCAATCATAAAAGCTTAAGGGTTTATTAAAGGTAGCATGGATAACATTTACTGCAGGTAATGATGAGTTTCCTTGGAAACTCAAATTAATTCTTTTTCCTTACATTTTTACTATAAATGTAGGAAATTCTCCATTCCACATAGTAGTTACTCCCTTAAGTGGACATATTACTTGCACATTTTAACTTCTACATAAATACTTGGTTTATTGTTTGAGAAAGTTTTTTTTTTCCTTTTTCCTCCATATTCTTCCTTCATACTTCTTTGGGAAAAACACATTAGTCTAGAACAAAGTTCTAAAGGAAGAAAAAAGAGAGAAAAGTAGCTAATATTTACTCCTTATCCTAGGGAATAAATGACACCATTCATGTCACCTTTTCCCTCTTCTTCACATTTGAAGTAAATAAACAAAAGGAACACCAAAAATATTCATGTTCGAGACACAATGTCTCAGTATGCCAGTTCTGACATGGTTACATGTTTCATGAGGGAATTGGATTTTCCAATACGAGGCCTGAAAAGGATGTGGTTCTTAAACCTTGTTTAGGAATGGAAGGAGAGAACATGATCACCTTTGGCGAGGCCTTTGTTCCCTGCATCTATTTTTACGTGTGTGTTATTCATGAGTTATGGGTTTTGATCCCCTTCACTCTCATTAGAGCTGTTTTTTACGATCATTAATGCCTCCCCTACTATGATTACCCCTAACGTATGAGACATGTTAATGGCTTTTCAAATAATTTGTAGTAACCTAGGGGGCTCTCCCACCGTTTTGGTATGTATATTTTTTTATAGCGTAAAGGCTTTTCCTATTTCCGGATGGATAAGTCAACGTGATCTGCCAAATAGATATTTGCTATAACCTTATGCAAGTTCTTACGAGGATTGGAAATACAGGTTCATGCGGGTGAGAGGGAGAGGCGACACCTCCCTTGTGACCACTAGAGCGGAGGATGCTATTTACTTTCCTTTTGCATAAATGCTAGATCCCTAACTTATCAATGGGTTAGATGCAAACGTCCTTTCCCCCCATTGATAAAGAAATGTTCCCTGGCCAATTTTAGGACCTTGAGCTCCCGTACTTTAATTACCAAGGATCACGAGGGTGGCAATGGATTAGAGGAGTATTAGAGTAAGTTTTGCAGTATGATATAAACTTTTTGTCTTGATTCTCAATCCAAATATTTTTCGTGTTAATACGACTTTTTTTTCTTCTTATATAGAGGACATAACTAATATTTTGTTTGACAATAGGAAAAGGTAATTGATTTAGATGCAGGTTGTAATATCCTTTTCTACCCCACAAATAATATGGCAAAATAACACATATATCAGAGTAAATTATTAAATCTCATAAAAAAACCACCAAAAGGATGTACATTCCCAAAGTCATCAAAATAGGTCACGACTCCATAAACAACAAGTTTTCTCCAAAATACATCAAACAACATAAAACAGTGGAATTCAAGGCATAAGTCAAGGTTTCCTCATTAGGGAAAATAAGCAAAATAACTCAACGATATATAGTTTAACTCAAAGAACCCAACCCGATGTTACATATCAGAGCAAGACCCTTTAAGTTAACTAAAAAGGCTAACAACTCTAAAACTTCAAAAATAACTCCTCGACGGCGTCCACGACTAAACTTGGTCATCTGCACGTTACCCACGTGGAGGTAACATTCAAACAGGCAGGGTGAGTAAAACTGTTCATAATAATCAATGTATAAAAATCAACATATAAATGGATCATAATCATATTCAATAATTCATATTCCTCAATATGCCGCAAAGGCCACAACGTCATAATTCATACAAAAAGACTCAGAGATGCAATGCAACAAGACTCAATGCATGTGGTACCAATCATCACAGCACGATGGACACTGAGCCATCAACCTTCCATAGATCTCCATTAATAGGATTGATTCTACTTGATAACCGGAGCACATCAAAACACTTCACATCCACACAATGGGATTGAAGCCAAAGTAATCGAGGTCCTGAACCGAAGTCCGGATGCACATGAATGCATGATGCACACGTCACAAATCATCCTCATAATAACAACATATGGTGCATCATCATTCATCATATTCATCATCATCACATAAATCATCATATCTCATGTTATCACATAATTCATCAAATTATGGTAATATCATCATAATACATCATAGAAATCATCATGTCATCATGTACACATCACATAAAACTCACTGTCATACTCATGTCGGTTGGTCATAGAAATCACATAATCAAACATTAAGGCATCGCTGCACACGATCAACATTCGCGAAACTCTGCTACGTTCGCTGGCATGTTCGCTAGGCGAGTCTAGGGCGAGTTTCTTCGCTAGGCGAGTCTGGGAACAACATGGTTCGCTAGGCGAACTGTGCAATGATAGCAAATTCTGCTACGCACCAGAATTGATTTCCACCCAAATGCTCATACGATTCACTTACCCAATGCCCCCAAAACATCCCTAAATCATCCCTAAGGTCCTACGACGATAAAGGCACAAAACCTACAGTTCATTAGGCCAATCCTGTAACATATTCATGTCCTAAATCACAATTTTTCCTTCAATTACACCCTAAGACATTAGAGTTACTCACTATCTAATATTTCTATCCCTTCAGGGTTAGACCTATAACAATTCAAGGTTTTGGCCACGAAGGCCTAAGGTTTCCTAATTTTCATATCAAACAGTCAGGAATACTTACCACTAACCACAACCATCAGGGTCTCATTATCAATTTCCTTTTTTTCCCCAATCAACCCAAAATTCCTTAAGCCTAAAATCATCCAGAGTTACATTTAAAAGCATACATAGAAAATCATGAAAAGCTATACTCACCATACCTTAGCCGATTTAAAGTCTTCACGATTATCTCCGGGAATCTTTTGCCTCTAATCTTTCCTCAGAGCTTTGGCTACAATATTTTTCACGGTTAACAAATGAATTCTAATTCCCTTCAGAATTCTATTTTGTCAAACCTAGTCTTGGTGTTCACAATTGGGCTTTTCCTCTATTACCCTTACTAACTTATCCAAATGCCCAAATTACCCCTATTTCACTTATATTCATTTTAATTAATGATAGTACTAATAAATTAATATTATATACTATTAGTCAAATAAATAATCCAACAATGCACATTTTTCCAATAATACACCAAACAACCAAAAATCACCGAAAAATGAATATTTTCAATTAAATAAATAAATTAAAATATTCCAATTAAATTTGGGGTGTTACACAAGTTACACAGTAACGAGCAGGCCGAGCCTCACATCTCCCCCAAGATGTTGTTATTGACAAAGGGAAAGGGCAGTGCAAAATATCTTGGGCTGGTGAGGCCCGCCTTCCTAAGATTGTGTGACAGGAAGAAGGTTCTTCGGGGCCATCAGGAAGTCGTAAGGTAGATGAGGGCGAGTAAGTAGGTGGAAGCTCTGTCCCTTCCGAGTCATCTTTTTAGAATAAACATACCTTTAATGCGATGAAGTTCTCTGATCACCACTTTCTTATCTAATAACTTCCCCAGTGATTATCAGTCATTACTTGACATGTCTTATGCCAGTTTATCCAACCTAATGGAGGTCTAACTCTCGCGGTGCCTTATAATGGGGAAAACTTAGAGGGAGAAACATTTATGCACTATTTGAGAACTACGTTCAAAGATTAATTGTTCAATGGGTAGTGGCCAAGAAGACAGGGTGACTGTAAGGATGTTGAGAGAAAAGTGAGATATTGTGAAGGCACATGACAAATAACTAATTGTCGCGACTCTCACCCAGTTTGAAGAGGTAAGTTTCCTAGAGTAATTACTCACGTAAACTTGTAGCACCAGGAAAAATTTAAGGAGAAATCGTCATCGCTAAATGATGAGGTTGTTGCTAGCTTTGCCTAATAGTTTGAATGGGTGAAAAGGCAAGGTGCCATCTTTTATCCCAATTTGGATTTAAGCCAGATAGATCCATTTCGAGTGGTTCGAGATGGCCAACTGACTATTTCATTTTTTTAGTAGTTTTAGATTTGAGTTTAGCTGTTTAAATCCTTTGTTTTATCATTTTTAATGCTCCATCGTTTGTTTTCTATATTTTCACGCTAGAAAGAGTGTTAAAAAGCGCAAAAGTTCAAAATATGTAATTAAAGTTATACAAAATAGGTTTCAAAGAATGAGTTAAAAGAAAGAAAAGGTGACTGTGAAAATTTAAAATGAGAAACAAAAAATAGGTGCAAAAAGCAATTTGAAAATATATAAGGGCCGAGCTATAAGAGTGAGATGGGCCGAGTGAGATGAAACAAGTATAATAAGAGTGAGATGGGCCGAGTGAGATGGGCCGAGTGAGATGAAACAAGTATAATAGAGATCGCGTGTACTTTTTTTGTTCTTGCTGTGTTTTCAATTCAATCAATCTATCTATCTGAGTTTGTTTGTTGTGTTAATCGAAAGAGAGATGCAAGACGGTGATGAAGTTAACATACAAGAGTTGGCCTCCAACCTCACCATTTACAAAGATCAACTCAACCAGGTTTCGATTTTCTTTCTAGGGTTTATCTTTATAATTATTATTATTATTATTCTATCATCATGATTCCACTAAATCTTTTTTTTTTTATGTGATTTGAATCCTGAATAATTAGGTTAGACAGCTTTTAAATGACGAACCCTCTAATTCTGAGTATGTCGACATGGAAAGGGAGCTCCGCGAGGTTTGATTTCTATTCATTCAACTCATTTTCCTCTCTTTTTATTTTACTTTTATTATTCATAACTCTTTCGCTTTCAAGATCTTACTACTTAGCACCATGGTAGATATCAATATATCGGTAAGAGCTTCACCATTAGGCTTTGTTTGGATTCATGGAATGTAATGGAATCGAATAAAGTTTTAAGATTTAAACTGCGTAACCCTCGGATTTTGTTTAACAAGAAAATAAAAAGAGAAACTTTTCAAAATGCACATCACTTCTATCTATCTTGGTTCTGTGCAGGTCTGGTCTGTCTCGTGATGTCTGCCATGCTTTCTTCCTCTCACCTGATTATGAGATGTTCACAGAGATTCTATAAGTTAGAATTTCGAAATTAATTTGGTTTATAATGTAAACGTTTATGTGAAATGCATTTCTTTTACTGAATTCGAATGTGGCCCTAAAATTGTGCAACACAGGTGATTGCTTTGACGGAAGAACTCCTCGCAACTGCCAAGCAAAATGAAATTTCTGTTGCCACTGAATCTCCAAGTTTATCAAGATCCAAGGAGAATAAAGCGGTACATACTTATTGATAATTTCTGTATTTTATTTTACGATTTATGCATTTGAGTGCACTTCTAATTTACAATTGGGAGACTAAATGAAAACAACTCATTTCAAATTTGGGGTCTATTACTACTCTTGGATTAGTACTCCAAATCAATCAAATATTCTCAGTGGTTTTTTCTGGTATAATGATTATGTTAGAAAATTAAGAAACAAGAAATATCAAGTGATGGTTACTGCCGGTTTCTTATATTTATTCGGCTATTTGTACATTGATGTTTTCTTTATGTGTACTTCTTATACTGCGAGAGGCTTGTCCCACTGCTGAGTTATTTTAGTTAATCAAGCCGTGATTACATTACACCATCTAATACAATGCCTAGTATTTTTGCTAATTTTTTCCTTTGGGAAATATCTTGAGCATGCTGCATTTTCCTGTTATCAAAATGATGCCTGTTCCTAATTGGCTTAGTTCATTGCCTTTAATAATTGATGAAATTACAATCTGGCAGAAGTTGCGGAGGATACAATTGAAATAATCTTTGATAATTTGAATGCAATAGTTGACTACTGATCTTTAGTAACTCTATATTATTTCATTGTTTAGGAGCTTGATAGCCACTTTGATCATCAAGAGAAATTTCCCATTGGCACCAGAGTTCAGGCAGTTTATAGTGAAGATGGGGAGTGGTATGTTACGTTTATTTCCTTGTTTTGTAGCACTGTTTATTGTTTTCCATTTTATTTGCCTATGTTTTCTTCATGTTCAATTCGTTGTATTGTGGATGTCCAGGTATGATGCAACAGTTGAGGCATACACGCCAAATGGTTATTATGTTAGCTATGACAGTTGGGGTAATAAAGAAGAGGTATAGTTTCAAAACTACTTGATGCATATTTATTCTGCAATCCTAGTCATATTACATTATATGGCATCTGCATACTTCAACTCCAAATTATTTATCATTGCATGATTTGAGTGGTAACTTGCATTGTTTTGATGTTAGAGAAGTAGGGGAGGGATTGACTTCTAATGAAAGTTTTTTCTTTTTCAGTCAATCTAAATTTAACAAAGATTGTATTGAGAAAGAAATCCATCTTTGGAATTTCCAACTTATTGCTATTTAATGATGTATATACCTTTTTTCAATATTATACTTAATGACATGAACCATGAGTACATGATTTATCTGGTTTGCAAACGACACAAAACTCGTGACAAAATTCTTTATGTAGGTAATAAGTATGAAATCAATAGTCGGCATGCCATCATGTTTATTGAAGTGTTTTCTAATTTTCTGTTTAGTTGAGAAAACTATTGCCTGTACCCTGTGCTATGCGGGTGCATTGTGTATTCTTAGCACCACTCATAAATTGCATCATTAGAACATAGGCAATACAAATGAGCCACTAACTTGTCATTATAATCTAAAACATTACTTTTTGTTGTTGGAAATGGTTAAATATGATTGTGGTTCCTAGTACTAATTTAGGAATCTTTCAAGTTTAGTTCCTATAATTTTTTTAACCGTTTATAGTCTACTGTTTACAAAAGAGTATCTTTAGTCCCTAAAGAGGGCACCTAGTTTGATAAAAGGCAGAGACATAAAAAAATTGTTATTTTATCTGGACTAAGAACATATTTAACCCTATCAAAAATTTCTTTTAATAGTTTTTCTAGTTTCTAATATTTCAAGGTAAATTTCATATATTGGTTGTTTATTGTAGGTAGATCCTGCTAATATAAGGCCAATTCAAGAAGGTACTGTGGATGCTTTGGTAGAAGCGGAGCGTGTAGCCGAAGCTACAAAGCAGGCTATCAAAAGAAAAATTGCGCAAGCTGGGTCTGTTGATTTTCAGTCACGAAGTCTACCTGCAAAGCTTCGTATAGAGCCCGATGACCCTGAGGATGTGGTGAGTGTTGCTGAAATTTTCACTAAAAAGGATAAAGCTTATTTTATGTATTAATTAAGTGCTTTAATTTGCTGTCTTTGCAAACTAGATTTCCTTGGTTTGATCTCTTGTTCTGCTGCCTACTTTTAGTGAAGTATTTGTTTTCCGCAAACTTTTTTGTTGAATCCAAATTAGTCTGCCAGTTTTCTAGGATGCCATAAATGACATGTTTGGTAACTGAATGATTACAGAAAATTACGAAACGGAAGAAGATACATGCCTTCAAGTCTAAGATGCGGATGGAACAACTTGAAGTCACACAAAATAAGCGGCAAAATGCTTGGCAGCAATTCCAGACAACCAAAGGAAAAGCAAAGAAGGTACCTGTCTCAATTTGTCTAGTTTGTGTATGAATATTCAATTATGTGATGTATTGAATGTGGTTGGTTTTGGTCCCAGATTGGTTTCTTCTCGGGAAGGAAGCGGGAGAGTATATTTAAATCTCCTGATGATCCTCAAGGAAAGGTTGGTGTGACTGGAAGTGGGAAAGGTTTGACAGAGTTCCAGAAAAGAGAAAAGCATTTTCATCTCAAGGACGGCACAGTTGAGAATGATGAATAGAATAGCAATTCCATTGTGTATGTAACATGGTCAAACCAATCACTGCAGTGGCGTTTTGATGCCAAACAAAACGATGCATGTTTTTCAAGTGAAATATTGAAGACTGGTTTCAGATTATTGTGTGTGCAATCAATAAATGTCTTCCTATATTTAAAGGCTAAATGCATCCCTCACTCTTCTATTAACTTGACGTTTATAGTAAATTAGTCCTCTGTTTTTTTAAGTAAAACCGGCAAGATACCCGTGCCTCTGGTAAATTTATTTAAAACAGTATAAAATATATTTTAGATGTACGGGTAAATTTGAAATACATTTTTTTTTTCATATTTAAAAATAAAGAATTCATCTTTCAATTAAATATAATTGTTGGTTAAAATAAAATAAATATTGTCTTAATAGTGACCCGAAGTAAAAAAATAGTGTTGTGCACGAGTGATATTTAATTTGATATAATATAAAATATTTTTAGATATGCATCTCAATTTATAATGTGTTATTTAATTGTAAAATAAATAATGATCATACAAACTCAATTGTATTAAGTTATCATATAAAAAAAGAGACTCTCAAATAAAGACAATTGTTGATCAAAATAAGATATATATTATTTTGATAATGACCCATGAAATGAAAAGTTGGTTGTGTGAAGTGTTATTGAATGCTATGAATTTCAAATGAGTTACTTAATTATAAATCGAATAATAATTATATAAATTATGAATATTTTATATATATAATAACTAATCTGACCTGATCAGAAGGGGATCACGGGCTGACCACACGCTGTTGGACTGCTACCTGTTCACCGATGATGAGGAGGAGAGGGGGGTGTACCTGCAAGACACTCCGATGCCAAAATGACGAATTGTACAGAGTGAAGGCGAAGTACAGAAAAAGGGGTAAGATCTTGAGGAAGAGGGTATTTATAGAGAGACCTCAGCGCTGGGCCAACGGTCACTTGCGTTGGGCTGAATTGCCAGACCCAACCCAGGCGACTGCTAGGGCTTACGTGGCGTAGTGAAGACCAGGACGTGGTCTTCGCCCTAGTCCAACTGCTCCTTGATCTCCGAAAAGTGGGTTTGACCTGCTCTTTCGGAGGTGGGCAGTTGGCTGCTGACGTGTCCCCGCAGAGGGGAGCACGTGGAGAACGCGCACCGGGCACGTTGTTCTCCCCGCATAGGGGAGCTCCGGGGGTTCCCCGGAGGTAGGTTGTTCTCCCCGCGGAGGGGAGTACGTGGAGAACGTGCGCCGGGCACGCTGTTCTCCCCGCGGAGGGGAGCTCGAGGGACTCCCTGAGAGCACGGTGTTCTCCCCGCGGAGGGGAGCACGCGTGGACGTGGAAGAACCAAGGGTCTTGCTCGACGGGCCGGGGGTGCTCGGTTCGACCGACAAAGGGGGCGTTGGGACGCTGCAGGACGTGCCGTCCATCCCGGCGGGGTGCGTGCCCTGTCCGTCCCACGGTGGTGTGTGCCCGGTCGGGCTAGTACACTTAATGGGCCTTGTGCTTTATTGGGCTGGACCGCGAGGCTGGGTCCAGACCAGAACAATAACTATGTTTTTTTTACATCATATATTTTAAAATTTTAAAATTTTTATGTGTTTTCATTAAAATTAAAGAGGTTCAAAATTTTGTTATTTATGTTTAAAAAATAAAATAGAAAAAAAATTGATAGAAAAAAATAAAATAAAAATGAGAAAGTGTAGGAAAAAAGTGGGAAAATTTTAAAATTTGAATGAAGAGAAAAAGAAAGAAGAGTGATAAAGTAAAAAGTAAAAAGTAAGAAATGAATTATGTCAAATTGAACATCCACGATCTAATAAAAGATGAAAATGATAAAATGTGAATATTAATTGATTAACAAAATGACATTTAAATAATGTAAAAAATTTGTAATAAAAAAGTAATTTAGAGAATTCATACCATTGATTTTTAATTGGTTGATAGTTGATTTAAGCTTAAATGTAGTTTTTTTTCTTTCCTATTATTTAGTTATTTTTAACTTTTGGATTCTTTCCTTAAAACTCAATTTTAAAATATGGCGATTTAAATATTTCTCTCTATGCACTTTTGCACTTGTGATGTTGTTACGTAATACCCCTTTCATTCGAGTGATCCAATTGATTCTTTCACATAAATTAAGAAAAATGAATAAATGAAAGAAAATAATATTTTTACGAAGATATTTTTTATTAAGTATTTAGAATGATGAAAGTAATACTCTCTTTGTTTTTTAATATAAGTCGTTTTTTATTTTTACACGTATTAAGAAATATAATAATTGTAGTATGGAAAAGAGAAATTATAATTTTTTTTTATAAAATTATCCTTTATTAATGATATTGGAAAGACAATTTTATATAATTGAAAGGAGCGAGAATAATAAATATTTAAGGGGAAAATATAAAAAATAATATTAATAACTCATTGGTATTATAAAACGACTTATACTGTGGTACAAATTTTCCCCCCAAAACAACTTATAATAAAAAAAGGAGGTAGTATTAATTAGTAGGTAGAGTTGAAAAAAATGAATTGAAAATTAAAATTGATTATTCATTTTGAGACACTTATTTATTCTAAACGTAAAATGGAGAGAGTATGGTAATATTGTGGTGCCAAGTAATATTTATAATATTCTAAATAATTATTTTTAAAAAAAGTCAGAATTAAATTATTACATTTTTTAATATATATTTTTAGATATTCTAAATAATTATTTTTAAAAAAAGTCAGAATTAAATTATTACATTTTTTAATATATATTTTTAGAATGACTTGTTTATGAAATTGCAACAGAAGTCGAAGATTATTCATTCATATGTATTTGGATATTCAAAGTTATGTAATTTTTGTTTCACCTTGATGAGGTGACTTTACCACTGAAAATTCAAAATTACTATTAGGTGCGTTTGAAGATGCATCTCTGAATACACCTTAAATCACTAGATCTTTCGTAAATCAAACAATCATCCCATTTTTGCCACAAATTGGTCCGAAAATGCATTTTTGTGATTTTCTAGGATGAATTCGGAGATGCATCTTTAAAAACACCCCTGAACCCATTTACTATGCATTTTTTTATTGAGGTGGTTTATTTAACCATTCAGTGACACTTTCGAAAATTCATCTCCGAAAATGTTAAGTTCAAAATTGAATATATCACCACACTGCATGATCATCTCTTAATCAACATTTTGACTCCAAATTATTAGTCTTGTGTTTTATCACATCAAACGGAGTAAGAGAAGCTGCAATTTAAGGTAAAGTTCATTCATTTCATCTCTCATCGATTGCATTAATCTTGTTCTTGAGCTGAAAAAAAATATACGTTACATCCAAATGTGCATTTCCGAATTCACCTTTTCATGTTTCAAGCGTGCATCTCCATATTTTCATGTTATTGTGAGTTTTTAAAATTGTTTTTTTTTTGTTTTGGTTCGTATTAGATATGATGCATCCAAATATAGTTTCCAAATTTGTTGTAAGTAATGATGTAAAACCGGATGAAGTGAAGGATGATGTTAAATCGGATGAGGTGAAAGACGATGTTAAACTGTGTGCTAGACCAGTTATTGTCGAGATAGATGTTGGTCAACAATTTAGAAATAAACAATTGTTTATTGTTCGTGAACATATACTTCAATGGGTCCGCATGGAGGTAAGGAAATTGGAGTTTGGCATTGTAATCAGAATGTATGACAATGGTTCTATCAGAAGGCAAGCATTTTCAACCATGGGATGTGAGAGAAGTGGCACATACGTTCCACCGATTCAGAATTTGAAACGTAATGATACCGGATCAAGAAAATATGAGTGTCTGGTTAAATTGTGTGGATATTGTAAGGTGAATGATACATGGATATTTAATGTGGTTTATGGTATACATAATCCTGCCTTGCAAACCGAGCTAGTCAGTCATCCCATCGTATGTCGCCTTAAATTGGAGGAGAAGAAAATTGTTTCAGACATGTCTTTAATCAGGGTGTCACCGAAAAACATACTTGCAGATTTGAAACGGAAAAGATTTGAAAGTGTTTAGAATATCAAGTAGGTATACAATGCACGTTATCGAAACAACATGGCGATAAGAGGTCCAAGATTCGAAATACAATAACTTTTGAAGCTTTTAGATGATAACCAATATATTTCCAGGTACATAGTTTGTGAGGATAAAGTCATTGTTTGTGACATATGTAACACCCCAAATTTATTGGAATATTTATTTAATTTATTTGAATATGAATATTTGTATTTTTGGTGATTTTCGGTGGTTGGTGTGAATATTGAGAATTATGGATTTTGAGTTATTTATTTAAATAATAGTATATAATATGAATATATTGGTATTATTATTAATTTAAATAAATATATGTGATTTAAGGGCAAAGTGGACAATTAAGGAGGAGTTAGTAAGGGTAATATTGGAAAAACCCAATTTATAGGCCCAAAGTTAGGTTTAACAAAAAGAGATTTTTGAGGGAATTAGGATTTATTCTAATTAGACCGTGAAAAGAGAAGAAATAGAGGTCAGAGCTTTGAAGAAGAGGATTGAGGCAAAAGGTTCGTGAGGTTCCCACGAATCAAGGAGAAGACTTAGAGTCTGCAATTAAGGTATGGGGAGTATTGCCTTCATTGTTTTCAATATGTGATTTCAATGTATTTAAAACTGATTTAAGGGTTTAGAGATTTTTGATTGAATTATTGTTGCCCTTTCTGATGGTGAGTTCAATGAGTTAGAGAGATTTGAACGAATGACCTGATAGAGTCGAGGATGATTTGGGTTAAAGAAAATTAAGTCTTCGTGGCCAAAGATCTGATTTGACATTTGTTTAACCGTGTAGAGTAAAGGAATTTATGAGAACCCGGTGAATGTGGGTAATTGTAATGGTGTAATTGTGTTAAAATTGTAGACTTATTTGAATTAATTATAGTATTGGATGAGTTGTAATTTTCTGATAGTTTAGGTTTTTACGCAATTGAAATCGGAGATCCGGAAGGT